AAGTTTCTAGTGTGCTGCCTAAAGGTGTTGTTCGTTTGAGAGAAACAACTAATGTTGATCATGTAGATGTTATGGAATTAGAATATGCAGCATCTACAATTCCTAAGGCATTGAGTAGTGAGGCTGTTTTTTCAATGCTGGGGGATACTGATGTAGCTGAACTACCTGGTGTTCGAGCTATCACTGGATTGTTAAACCTACTACTACATTGGGTGCTGAGACATTACAATATGCAGATTCCACGGGGTCTAAGGGGGTCAATATAGAGGCTAAACAACTTCAAGGATCATCTGGCAAGGAGCATGCAACAGCTGGGATTTTCATACCTACTACTTACTTGCAAAATAATGAGGATCGAACTATGGTTGTTAATTCAACGGCTAAAAATGCTGGGCATGTACATGATACTCCAAGGCAATTGGCTTCAGCTCAAACAAAATCATATACAAAGAGTAAGAAATGGACAGAGGTAAATAGATCACCTACCAAGAAGCAAACTCCAGCCCTTCACAATCCGTTTGACTCATCGACAGTCATTGAGATCTCCAACTCTTTTGATGCTTTGTTGTGTGATGTCGAGCATGCTATGAATGAGCCTGAGGATACGAACCAATAACTAGAGGATGCAACAAGACCAGCAATTGGAAATATAGGCTACACAGGTAGTGAAAAGTAACAGAAAAATGCAGAGGACCAACGTGCTCGACTTCAGCTCGTAACTGTTAATGATCAAAATTGTGAGCAAACTCAACTAGCTGATGCAGCAACACCAACACTGCATATTTCCAATCCTGAACTAGCTCAAATGGTAAAGGATTCCCAGGCAGCTATGATGATGAACACAACTACAATTATCATGGCACCGCTTGTCACATTGAATACAACAGTCTTTGAGGTACCCTCCCAATCGATAGACTCTTTTGGTGAACATGCAGATGATTCTGGACAGCAACTATTGTCCATGGGCAATAACAAACAAGCAAACAAATGGTTGGCATCGCTCTCTCAAACATCCACAAATGAGTAAACTAATTCAAAGGAGCAGCAAGGGGCTACGAGTGCATTTATATTGAATCGAAAGGCTTAGGCTGACCAAGTTCAAGAAGAGGAAGAAGATATTACATATATCTTTTATGCTGATTGTGAAGATCCAACATCTCAATTTACAGCAACACTTCCATCACAGGACCAGGCAACAACTGTACAAAACGAGCAGGTTTCTAATTCAGCACACATGGTTCTAAAGAAGAAAGGTTTGAGTCCAAATGCTGATGTATTTGTACCTTCCGGACAGCAACAAAAGGCCAATAATTCGGTACATTCGAAGGGGATCCAAATTTCATCGACCCACATGGCAGTACCTACTGGAGTTAACACTTCAATATCCGCAACATACAATTTGACACCAACAAATATGCTCCATTATCTTGTTACACATGACATGGACAGTTTGAGAGATCTTGGTACTCTTAGGAACAACCAAGGAACACTTGTTTCCGGATTCAATCCGATTGAAACTTTTGGAGAATTATGGAACAAATCTTCTTTGAAAAAGGGGAAGAGGATGAACTACTAGACAACACATTTGCAAATATAGCGAGGGAAGGAGATGTTTCGCCTAGACAGCTGAGAAGCGGTACCACCAAGAGCACAAGGATATCACACGAAAGACAACATAGCTGGGATGGAAAGTTGACACAAGGCCCTACAATTAGGAAACCTCCGATGAGGGTTGCAAAGAAAAGGTTCCAGCCCAAAGCACAACGACAAGATCCAACAAGTCCAACCGATCAAAGAAAAATGATGAATTTTGAAGACATTTTGAAGAAGGTTGATAAAGACGACAACATTCTACAACTCGAACAGTTCATAAAGATATAGTATAGAGGGCAAGACACTAATTATTACATAATCTTATTTTACCATTTTATTAGCATAATCATATGTAATATCATCATAGAATGTGTTATAAACTCTATGATGATCATACAATACTTAATACACTCTACTTCATATTTTTTACATTCTTGTTAGTAGTTGAGGTTATTAATGCCTCATTCGGAATTGTAAGGTGGTCTAGCGCAGTTTGTGATTTCTTAGGTACTACGCCTTTGGAAAATGTCCAGATGGATATGAGATCATTCGCCCTCGTGAGACTACGCCGGAAGCCTTTTAAGGCTTCTATAGGGCATTGGAGGAGCAGAAGGATGATTATATAGCCAAGACATAGCGGCAACACTACTGCAGCTTTTGTACCCCTTACTTGTACTCTTACTTTGTGGTTTCTCTATTTATTATTAATATAAAAACTACTAGGCAGCATGCCTAGTGGTCTATTTGCTAAAACAAATCCCTAATTAGAAGCAATCCAATGTAACAGTAAACCTTAGAAGTGCTGAGGTGGTTTTGGCCAGGGTTGATGGTGTTCCGGTGGAATTTTCAGGGAATGGTCAAGTTAGGGATGTTAATGTGGATGTCTTGGAGGATAAAGTGGGGTCAGATCATCAAATAACTGGTGGTAAGGTTGGTGATCCCAATGGAACAGTAATTCCAGGGAAATTTGCTACAGTGAACCCTAGCTTGGGTTCTATCTATAAGCTTCAATTCAGAGCTATACAGGATTCTTTAGCTGTTCAAGAGAATGGTTCTGAGATCTTGAAGGATTCAGGCATGGGGCATGAGCAGTCGTAGCATGCTATTGTACCTAGGGTGTCAGGTGCATTAGAAACTGTACCAATGGCTTGTGCTTCAAGCACTGGGCTTCCACTGCAAATCCAGGTCAATGTACCCTTGAAGTCTCCCAATGAGGTGCTACATGATGTTATTACACACAATGTCTTACATGTGGACATTCACAATGCATTGGTAGAACAACAACAAATGGAGGATGAGGGTGATGATGAATCTACTGTTGGAAACTTTAAAGTTGTAGCTAGGGAAGGGGATTTGTGACCAAGAGCTTATACAAAGAGTGGTAATAAAGGCAAGAAGTATACACAAACTAAAGAACCATTGCAACCTAAAAGAATTCGACCTAAAAGGGTAGCCTCAACAACCAAGTGATGATTAAAACACTGATTTGGAATATAAGGTTTGTTAGAACTTAGCAGGCCTTTCAGAGGGTGATTAGTATGAAAAGAGAGCATGGTTTTTTTATTGTTGCACTTATGGAACCATTCCAGAATTCCAGGCATATTCATAGGTACAAGAGGAGGCTAGGAATGGATAATGCTTTTGCAAACATCAATGGTAAAATCTGGCTATTCTTGGATAGTGTTGTAGAATGGGAATTGCTGATAGATACTGAACAACAGGTGGCTATAAAGGTTTATCATCAAGGCATTGGTAAGCACATCATGATGACATTTATGTATGCTAAGTGTTCTTCTCTGGATAGACTGGAATTGTGGGACAATTTGTATTATTTAGCCAGTGACATGGAGTTACCTTGGGTAGTTGGTGGAGACATCAATGTGGTTTTAAGTGTAGAAGAAAAGATAGGAGGTCTATTAGTATATCCTCAAGAATATGAAGATTTTTTGTTTTTGTGTGAATTCATGTGCACAATTTGACCTTGAATACAAAGGAAGCCCTTTCACTTAGTGGAATGGGAGACCTAATATTGAATGTATTTTCAAAAGGCTGGACAGGATTCTTGTCAATCTACCTTTCTAGAATTGTTTTCCTAATATTGAGGTAGAACACCTTATAAGAACAGGCTCAGATCGTGCACCTTTGTTGATGAGTTGTGGAGATGATGTAATGCAGTTTGTGAAGCCTTTCATATTTCTCAATTTCTGGGCAAAGCATGACATATTTAAGGAGGTCGTTAGGCAGAATTGGGTGGCGGATTTTATTGGAGATCATTTCTTGATGTTCAAGCTGAAATTGAAGAGGTTAAAGATAGCATTATCCAAATGGAGTAAGTTAACATATGGGGATATATTCAAGCAGGCTTGCTATTAGGGAGGACATTGTAAGAATTAAGGAGAAGTTGTTTGAGGAGGAGCCTACTATTAATAATAGAATTGTGCTTCAAAAGACACAAGCTGAATTGAAGAAACACAAGATTTTTTCATAACCATGTGAATGGTAAGAGGAAAACATTGCAACTCAAAAGGATTCAAAATAGAGATGGAGTGTGGTTTGAAACACAAGAGAAGATGGCCAATGAAGTTGTTGAATTCTTTCAAAAACAGTTCACTCAAGAAGGGGATCCTACTAGCTTTGATCTTCTGAACAATGTACTTGCTATGGTGACATTTGAGCAAAACACGGAGTTATACAAGATGTCAAGTAAAGAAGAGGTGAAGGGAGTTGTCTTCTCTTTGAGTGGTGATAGTGCAAGTGGACCAGATGGTTTCACTGCTATTTTCTATCAAGCGTGCTAGGATATAGTAGGGGAGGATATCTTCAATATGCTACAGGTGTTCTATAGTGGATCTTCTTTACCAAAATTAATTAATCACACTAATCTTGTGTTACTGCCTAAGAAGCTCGTGGATTTTCAGATTTAAGGCCTATAAGCTTAAGCAACTTCATAAACAAGTTAATCTCAAGGGTGATGCATGATAGATTGGAGAAGATATTACCATCACTGATATCCTCTAATCAATCTGGATTTGTTAAAGGGAGAAGTATCTTTGAGAATATCTTACTTACACATGAGATTGTAACTGATATAAGGTAAATGGGGAAGCATGCTAATGTGGTGATCAAGTTGGACATGGCAAAGGCTTATGATAGGGTTTCTTGGAAGTATCTACTGCATGTGTTGAGGAATATGGGATTTGCTAAGAACTTCATAAACATGATATGGATCCTGCTCTCAAACAACCAGTATTCTGTGCTAGTAAATGGCCAAGCTTCAGGCTTCTTTAGGCCTACAAGAGGAGTCAAACAAGGTGATCCCTTTTCTCCAGCATTGTTCATTCTCTCAGCTGAGGTGCTATCAAGATCTTTGAACAAGCTATTTAAAGACAGATTTTAAAGGTTATGGTATGCCAAAGTGGACTGATCCTTTGAACCACTTGGCTTATGCTGATGATACAATCATATTTGCCTCTGCTAATCCTTATTCACTAAGGAAAGTGATTGAGGTTCTAACACTATATGAGCAGACCTCTGGTCAGCTGATTAACAAGGCCAAGAGTTCAAACTACATGCATGCTAATGTGGCAGGATCTCTCTTCTCCTCAGTAGGTGCAATCACTGGATTTCATAAGGGTGGGTTTCCATTTACTTACCTAGGCTGCCCTATTTTCTACACAAGAAGGAGGAAGGATTACTATAATGATGTCATTAAGAAGGTGAAAGCAAAACTTCATTCCTGGAAAGGAAAGCTACTATCTTATGGTGGCAAGGCAACACTTATCACTAGTGTACTTCAAAACATGTCTACACATATACTATCAGTACTGGATCCTCCTGACAATGTGCTGAAACATTTGCACAAGACCTTTGCTAGGTTTTTCTGGAGTAAGAAAGAGGAAGGAAAGAGCAGTCACTGGACAAAATGGCTGAACTTATGCTTACTAAAAGATGAAGGTGGTCTAGGGTTCAGATCTTTATTTGATGTATCCAAGGCTTTATTTGCTAAGCTATGGTGGAAGTTCAGAACAACAAAGTTCTTAAGGTTAAACTTTATGTGGAACAAGTATTGTAAGAAGGAACTACCTACAGTAGTTCAATTTAGAGAGGGGTCACATATGTGGAGAAAGATGTTGAAAGCAAGGGAAGAAGTGGAACATGAAATACTATGGGAGATGAATAGGGGTTCTACCAATGTATGGCATGAAATTGTACTGGAATAGGAGCATTATATCATGTTGTGCCCCCAAACTTTCCAATCAATGAAGAACTACATGAAGTGGCTGAGTTGAGGGAAGAAGACAATTTGAATGATCAGATATTTGAGCAATCTTTTCCAGGTGATATTGTAGATCATATAAGGCAAGAGGTACACTTTGACGACAGTGATGAATACGGGGACACTCCCAAGTGGATGCCTACAACCTCAAGCATATTTAAAGTGAGTAGTGCATGGCAAATTCTAAGGTATAGGGCTCCCATAAATGCAGAATACAAGCTAATGTGGACCAAAGGTTTGCCTTTCAAAATTTCATTCTTTCTATGGAGATTGTAGAAAGGCAAGATACATACTGATGATATTTGGAGGAGAAATGGATATGTGGTAGTATCTAAGTGTTGGTGTTGCTTGTCACTATAGTAAGATACCTTCCAGCATCTATTCCTTACAAGTGATACTGCAGCTAGGGTGTGGAAGGTTTTTCTTCAAGAAACAGGTATAATCGTCAGCATGGTATAGGTACATCAGGTGATAAGAGCATGCTGGAATACTCAATGCTACCCCAAGCTAAAGCCATTGATGCAGGCAGTACCAGTTGTGATCACACAGGAGCTTTGGAAGAGGAGAAATACAATGAAGAATGGAGGTCTAGTGTCTTGCAATAAGGTGATTCATGAGGTAAATAAGACTCTACACTACCTAGCAAAGGTGAGGTATCCTTGGATACCAAATGTTCCATTATTGTGGCCGGATATGATCAAGTTTTTTTAAGGTTATAAACCTTATGTAGTGACCAAGAGAGTAGCCTGGCAGTTTCCATATGGTGGTTGGATTAAGTGTAACACAGATGGTTCTTCTAGAGGTAATCCTGGACCTAGTTCCTATGGCTTTTGTGTGCGAGATTGTGGTGGAGATTTGGTGTATGCTAAGGCTAAGAAATAGGTGAGACAACCAATATTGTGGCTCAATCAAAAGCAGTTGTTGAAGGCTTGGCTTACTGTGTTGACCAACAGCTTCATCCGCTCATCATTGAGACTGACTCTTTGGTAATGAAGAGGATCATTATAAGGGATTGAGATCCACCCTGGTGCATTGGTGCAGAAATGAAGAAGATAAAGGGGATGAAGAATCAATTCAATGTGATCTTTCAACATGTACTAAGGGAGGGAAATGCAGTGGCAGATTATTTAGCTAACCTTATTTTTTCTTTTGCAAGTACAATCTCATTTCACTCATTCTCTGAATTGCCAAGTGCAGGAAGGAGATTAATCAATCTAGACAAAGATCAAATCCCTAATCTTAGGGTTACGTTAGCAAAAAGAAAGGCACCTAATTGATGATCTCAACATTTGATGCACTGCCTGATCTTGCCCCATTTTTCTTTGTTGTATACTTCTGTGTGTTGGTAGATGACTTCCCAGTAGTATTAGCATGTCATCATGCTCAGCCTGGGGGTGGTTTGGCAGCATATAGAATTGGTAAGGCAAAAAGGCATTACATAGGTTACAACAAAAGCTTACAAGGTGATACACTTCCTCTTACTACGGTTAGATAGAGCAGCTTATATGGTGTTTCTCATACATGCTGGATTCATATTGTAGAAGAGCCTTGACAGTGTGCTCCTGAACTGCACAATGTCTTTGACTTAGCTAACACACATAGGCAGCTGCTGCTTCATCTATATCTTTCATATTATGTATTGTTTGATCATTATCCAGTGGTATTAGTGTGCTTTCAAACTCAATCCGGAGATGAAGGTAATACATGACACTTATCTTCTAAGCAGACAGCTATGGCCCAAAGCTATACAGGAATATCGTTGGTATTGTCTAGTTAATCTCTTATCTAATATTACTGAGGATCACTATGCTTGGAAATGGAGATCAAGACTGAAGAGTTCAAGATAGATCAACACATGTGTTTATCAGATCTGGATAGCTTCATTACAATGGTGTGCTTGTTTGGAATCTACACTAGCTTTGTCCATTGTAATCTTGTCCTATGAAATGCATAACCTAGCGCCTGGTGAGAGCATTAGAGGTGCTACTTTGTTATTGCCCTTGGCCTTTGGATCCACTTGCACTACATAGATATGGAAGCATACATTCTTCTACTTTGTAATAACTAGCTCACTAGTTTTAGTTTTTTGTGTCATAGCACTAGCTAGTAGTAGTTTACACNTATATATTAGCCGCTAGGCAGCCTGCCTAGTGGTATATTTGTTAAAATAATCCCTAATTAGATGATGAAAATAGCAATAGATTCATGAAATATACACCAATCGGGGTTAGAATCACTTACCCCCAACAATTTCCTTGAAACAATCCTCACACAGAGCTCTCTAAGTCCAAATTATGAAAAATGAGATGAAACACACGTTTTGAACTTTAAATTCTGCCCAAGTGTTATTCGTCTTCGTGATCGCGGGAATTGCTTCAAGATCGCGAAGCACAAATTCACAGGATGCCAAATTAACACTCAGCAAACGCGACATACTGCCTCTAAAAGTTACGCGATAGCGGAAAAATTCACGCGATCACGATGAACAAAAATGCGTGGACCTGCAGCCTCATCTTCCTTCTCCGCGGACGCAACCAATGACATGCGTTTGTGATTCGCTGACTCTCCAAACATCGTGATCTCGAGACCCTTCTTGCGATCGCATAGAATACTTTTACCAGCTCACCAAACAACTCTTCACGATCGCGAATCCCAACTCGCGATCGCGTACAAGGAAACCAGTAGCAGCAAATTCAACAGTCTTCAAGGTTGCTAAATGTGCCAAACATGGTTCGAATTATACCCGAGGCCCTCGAAATGTCAACCAAATATAACAACAAGTCCTAAAATGTTATTCAAACACGCTCGAAGCATTAAATCACATCAAACAACACAAGAACCACGAATCGCGAATCGATTCAAGCCTAATAAACTTATGAACTTCTGAATTTTAAAACTAATGTTGATTCATACCAAAGAAAATTCGATTGACTTCAAATTTTGCACACAAGTCATAAATGACATGACTGACCTATTCCAACTTTCAGAATCGAAATCCAACCCCGATATCAATAAAGTCAACTCCCAGTCAAACTTTCCAATCTTCCAAACCTTTAACTTTCTAACTTTCGCCAATTCACGTCAGAACGACATACGGACCTCGAAATCAATATCCGGACAAAACTCCATTCCGGAGTCTTCTACACAAAAGTCAAATTATGGTCAACTCTTTCAATTTAAACTTCCAACTTAGAGACTATGTGTCCCATTTCAATCCAAAACTCACCCGAAACAAAAAACCAAACACCACGGCAAGTCACATAACCATAATATAACATAGAGGAGGCCATAAATAGGGGATCAGGGCTAAAATACTCAAAACAACTGGTCGGGTCGTTACATCCTCCCCCTCTTAAAATAAACGTTTGTCCTCGAACGAGTATAGAGACATACCTGAAGTGGTGAAAAGATGAGGATAATGGCTGCGCATATCATGCTCAGTCTCCCAAGTCGCCTCCTCAACTGGTTGACCCCTCCACTAAACCTTCACTAAAGCAATGTTCTTCGACCTCAACTTTCAGACCTGCCTGTCCAAAATGGCCACCGGCTCCTCAACATAAGACAAATCTTTGTCCAACTGGACTGAGCTAAAGTATAACACATGAGACGGATCATCGTGATACTTCCGGAGCATAAAAACATGGAACATTGGATGAACTATAGCTAGACTAGATGGTAGTGCAAGCTTGTAGGCCATCTCTCCAATCCTCTCAAGAATCTCAAAAAGGTGTGATATACCTAGGGCTCAACTTGCCCTTCTTCGTAAACCTTATAACACCCTTCATGGGTGAAACCCGGATCAAGACCCGCTTCCCAACCATGAATACAATATCGCGAACATTCCGATCTATATAAATCTTCTGTCTGGATTGGGCTGTGCGAAGCTGATCTTGAATCAATTTAACCTTTTCCAAAGCATCCTGAACCAAGTCTGTACCCAATAGCCTAGCCTCACCCGACTCAAACCAACCCACCGGAGACCGACACTGCCTCCCATACAAAGCCTCATACGGAGCCATCTGAATTCTCGACTGGTAGCTATTGTTGTAGGCAAACTTTGCAAGAGGCAAGAACTGATCCTAAGAAACCCCAAACTCCATCACACAAGCACGAAGCATATCCTCCAATATCTGAATAGTGCACTCGAACTGTCCGTCCATCTGAGGGTGAAATGCTATACTCAACTCAACCTGCATGCCTAACTCATGCTGTAAGGCCCTCCAGAACTGTGATGTAAATTACGTACCTCGGTCAGAGATGATGGATACCAGCATGCCATGAAGTCTGACGATCTCGCGAATATAGACCTGAGCCAGCTGCTCTGAAGAATAAACTAGAATGAAATAAGATGACTTGGTCAACCTATCTACAATCACCCATGCTGCATCGAACTTCCTCTGAGTCCGTGGTGCCCAACAATAAAATCCATAGTAACTCGCTCCCATTTTCACTCTGGAATCTCTAGCTTCTGAAGCAATTTGCCTGGCCGCTGATGCTCATAATTCACCTGCTGGCAATTTAGGCATCGAGGTACATACCCCACTATGTCCTTTTTCATTCTCCTCCACCAATAGTGCTTCCTTAAGTCCTGATACATCTTGGCGGCACCCAAATGAATGGAATACCACAAACTGTGAGCCTCTTGAAGAAATAACTCACGCAAACCATCTACATTGGTATCATCATGCTGAACCGTGTCCTTGAGGACAATTAGATAGGGGTCGTCATACTGACGCTCTCTGATACGATCATATAGGGAAGACCCCAAAACCACACAAGCCAAAACTCAACTCGGCTCTAAAACATCCAATCTAACAAACTGGTTGTCCAAGGCCTGAATATTAAATGCTAACGGCCTCTCTGCTGCCGGTAGATATACTAAACTGTCCAAGCTCTCTGCCTTACGACTCAAGGCATCGGCCACCACATTGGCCTTCCCGGGATGATACAGAATGGTGATATCATAGTCCTTAAGAAACTCTAACCATCTCCGCTGACGCAAGTTAAGATCCTTCTATTTGAACAGATGTTATAGACTCCAATGGTCGATATAGACCTCATAAGGGACACCGTACAAATAGTGCCGTCAAATCTTCAAGGCGTGAATAATCGCAAGGTCGTGGACATGATAGTTTTTCTCATGCACCTTCAGCTATCTAGACGCATAGGTAATCACTCTACCGTTTTGCATCAACACCGCACCGAGGCCAATACGCGACGCATCACAATACATAGTGTAAGCCCCGAATTCGTAGGCAATGCCAAAAATAGGGCTGTAGTCAAGGCAGTCTTGAGCTTTTGAAAGCTCTCCTCACACTCCTTGGTCCACTTGAACAGAACAGCCTTCTGGGTCAATCTTTTCATAGGAGCAGCAATAGATGAGAAGCCCTCTACGAATCGGCGATAATACCCTTCCAAACCAAGAAAACTCTGGATCTCAATAGGTGAAGACGGTCTGGGCCAACTCTACACTGCTTCAATCTTCTTCAGATCTACCTTAATCCCCTCACTCGGCACGACATGACCCAAAAATGCCACCAAATCAAGCCAAAATTCACACTTTAAAATTTTTGCATACAACTTCTTTTCTCTCAAGGTCTGGAGC